GTTGAACAATATGGGTCCAAGGACAGAGCCTTGAGGGACCCCACTGGTCACAGGACACCACAACGATTGACTTCCGTCAATCACCACCCTCTGGGACTGACCATTGAGCCAATTTCCCAGCCGGTGAATCATGGTGGACCCAAGGCCACAATTGGCCAGTTTCGCCGAGAGTAATGCTTCTTCAATTTCTCCTCTGAAAAGTTGAACAATGCCTGTGGTAGACTTGCAACACTATGGAGTGAACTAATGTGGGCAGAGACTTGCTCAAGTCTTCCTCAGAAAAGATGCAATCCCAAATGATAATGAATAATGCTTGTGTAACATTACTGTCATTTTGGTACGTGGTCACAATGCACAGCTCTACATAGGCATATCTATAATATTAATGCCTTCTTCCTCTTGTGCAGATGAATGTTTTGGCAGAATGCTGCCATTCCTAGCTTTTATACACAAGGGCCTGCATAGCAGGGGGAAGTAAGAAAAGTATGACTAATAAAGGGAGCTGGCCCATCCCAGTAGACACACAGCAGTCAGATACTGATAGAGACTTTACTTAAGTGTTGGAGTGGGGAGGCTGCTCTGTGCATAGGGACCAATCATTACTACATATATGAATAACTTTCAGAAGGAGTCCACCTACCCTGAAAGGCTGGGTACAAATCAGACTCTCTTATAAGAGTGGGATCAAACTGGAGGAAGGTCCACCTCAGGACTTTTATTTTCAGAGTTCTCTGATCCCAAAAGCACTTGAGTGAAGTAACTGTGGTTAAGAACTTCCTTTGCTGAGCCCATCCTTGCTGAGCCCATTCCTTGCTTTTCCAATGCATCACCATTGACAGGCCTAAATGAGAAGCCCAGACTGCCTATAGCCTATGGGATACTCCTGCCTATAGCCTATGGGGAGTGAGTAAAGTGTCAGGAAGGGCACTGGGAGGTCTCAAACACTACTATGGGGAGCTAAGGAGCTGCACAGTGCATCCCACATACCAAAGAAGTGTATTAGGCTAGTGGTCTCCAAACTTTTTTGATTGCACACCCCATCAGTAAAAAATTTTTGAGCACACCCCCCCAGTATATGTATATTTATATTCGCGCACCCCTTCAGTAAAAAAAATTTGAGCATGCACCCCCAATATATGTATATTTATATAAATATAAATAGAAGTTCTAATATTTTCTTCCCACACCCCAGTGGATCGTCTTGCACACCCCACTTTGGAGACCACTGTACTAGGCGATCACGTCCCTTTAAAACAGACTGGTATCTGTTCAGAGTGGTACTGGGTGAAACAGTAGCAACTACAAAGCCTCTGGGGTATCTGGGCAGATTGTTTTAAATCCAGAACACTGGGATGGTTGGACAGTGTAACACAGCCAGGACTGAAAGAAACTCAGGATATATGCCTGAGTGAATCTCTGAATCAATACTGAATGCAACTCCCTCCATCTGCACTGTACCTCGTCAATTCCATGAGGTCTTTGAACAGTGGGACGCTGCTCAGATCCTCCTCCACTGCTATGTCTCTAGAAGATGAACAAACATTATTCTTTCATGTAATTAAAACAGAATTACAAACATCTTTCCAGCAGTAACCTGAAGAGCATCATCTCATTACCTGATGATGCTAACAATGCTGTCATGGTAATAACAGCGCAGATGATTGATAATATTTTCTTCTTCTGGTAAGTCTTTAATGACCTTCACAAAAGCACATGGGAAAATTCCAGTGGCATCATAGACAGTTCCCTGGAACAAGAGAAAGGGTACAAACTGAAGAAGAGTGTATTATTTTTACTACATTTGATTGGCTGTGGAAACTGAAGCCATTTCTGTAGAGATGACAACCAGAATTATCTCAATATGATCATTAAAGGAGGAATGCAATAGAAATAAGCTGATTGTATACCTATTGCATTGGATAGTCAAATACAGAGGAACAGGAGCAGTGCATAATATGCACAAGTCAGATATCTACCCTCAAGGACTGTCCTGTTTGAGAAAGCAGATACCAGTATCAGCAGACATACTGAATGCCCTTCCTTACTGTCTCTTAGAATATTGCCAGAGTCCTTTGTTAATAGGTCATTATGGGTTAGCATGAAATACAGAGTGAGCATGTCTACACATGCATTTATGCCAACTTGAAGTTATCATACGCTGACTTACTGTGCAGGAAGCAGGAATAGCCTGGCATCTACATGTGCAGGCATTAAAGCACATTAGGACTGCGTGTGGACTGACTTGGGACTAAAGCTAGTCCCAAGTCAGTCCACACACACAGTGTTACTGCACAGTAAAGCATCTATGTGTGCATTACTGCATAGTAACTAATTGGGTATAAATTTGATGATGTAGGTATCAAATTTATGCTCAAGTCAGCGTAAGTCACAATATTTACTGCACAGTATGGGCATGAACATGTAGATGCATGCCCGTACTGCACAGTCACTTTGGTTACTGCACAGTAAATGCACATGTGTAGACATGCCCAGTATATCTCACAAATGTAAGTAATCATATGAATTCAGAACTAGAGTTCCCATGTCTTTTCTGTGGATCTTCTTCATCCTGTAGAATGTAAAGGACATTACAAGAAAAACAGGTGTGAGTAAAAGCCAAAAGACAGAGGAGAGAAAACCAGAAAAGAGAGCCCAAGAAGGGAATAGCCTGGAATTTTGAGTCAGAGACTTGTGTACTCTGAGCCTAAAGTCTAAATGTATGATGTGGTTGCCTGCAATGGCAGTGACCCACTAGGCCCCTTCCAGTCCAGTGCTCTCTATTCTTATGTTCCCTGACAAGTCAATAACACTAGTACATAGGAATTTAGAACTTGAAGGGACATCTGGCTCAGGTAATACAGTCACCTGTTATTGCTGCCAAATGTGTAACACTTAAGGATGCACAAAAACATTCATTCTGATCCCTGCTACAGTCTAGTCACCAAATACCCCCTAATGCAGAGGTGGGTAATTATTTGGGCCTGATGGCCACATAGGCTGTTTTGGTGAGCTGTCATGGGCTGGGTCAGCACCCCTCCATCTGATAACAGCTCACCAA